AAGGTTGTGGGTTCGAATCTACTTGGTGTCATTTGAATTTTTCTTTCTTTCTTTCAAGTTTAAAATTTCAGACGGAAAATTTCTAAGTTGAACGTAGTAGTTAATTAGGTATTCAAGGGCAATATACATTAGTATTCAAGGGCGATATCTAGATATATCCCTGAAACTTCGATATAAAGCACTTGAATACACAACGAGCTGGGGAATAAGCGAGATACTACTGAATAACAAAGAAAACTGAATCAAGTATGAAATAACAATATATATAAACCTGCACATTTACATTACACTGAATTGTGCGAATTCCTTCATCTTTTTATTACTTCATTGGCACTATATTGTAAGTATTCAGCATTATTTGGTTCTCAAGCTTTATAGCGTTTGCCCTCTAATATCACCCTCGCCCTGCACCTCCGCCTGCAACTTGACGCTTTCTATCTTTTAGGGTCCCTGTGAAAAGCACACCTAGGAGCATTTACTCTAATATAGAATTTCGCTAATAAAAATTCCATTAGCTCCCAATCTCCCTCTTCTGGCTCCCAGAAAAAGACAGGAGGCCCGTGACTCTTAGTCATGCCTGTGGAGGCAAATGCTTTGATAATACTTATGGTATTTTATCATAAAGTCGGGCTTCACTCTATGGCCTATAGTTAATGTCTCGTTCAGTTCTTTATTCGACCGCACCCTGTCAAAATCATAATGTTCAATAACAAAGCCTGGAATCTGGACGGCTTTTATTTGAAGATCTTCCGAAGCCACGCCAAGGTAAGCATCGTCTGTGTGGAAAGGCTTTCGTCTGTAGGTATATATAAGATATCTAGGAAGGGTATCACTAGAGAATACAGTATAAGCGCCTTGCAACCATGGCGGCCATTTTTCTTTATCATGCAACTCATAAGGTATGTACCATTGGCTTTTGGGATTGCGAGGAATGACATCAAATATACCGATCACTCCTCCGTAGAATGACCTTGGAGAACCCGTATTTTCCAACCACGTCATCAATTGTGGAACTCGCACGTAAACGTCGTCGTCCGTTTTCAGAACAAATTTGCATGATAACTTTGTAGCAGACCAAAGGAGGCCCATGAAGGTCTTCATTACAACGTTCCTATAGGTATCCGAAAAATTGCCTATGATGACATCATTGTGATCACGTGCCTCTTGTAAGCTAGCTGCATAATAAGATTGGTTGGTAGCGATGCCTAAGGCGAAGAAAAGTTTCCATTTCAGATTCTTGACATTTCCCAATGATTCACTTGTATTTCCCCATGTTTTACGAATCGTTTGTCGTAACGTCCGATGTTTTTCTTCATTAGCACCTGTGTTGACTACTACAGCGAGATAGAGGCTGCTTTCCTCAGAACTTAGCTTCGGTTCAACAAAAGGCAAAGTGAGGTTGAACTCACCCGTGTATACACGGGCGGCAGGTTGAATCGGTCGGTTTTGCTTCGCTTCATGAACGATATTTTGCGGTTTCAGAGGGGAATTGATTATCCAGGTCCAAAATCGGCCGACATTAAATGCAACGATAGCAAGTATTACTACTTGCTTCTTTTCCATCGTAAAAGAGAAGATTCCTTCTCAGCGTTTCTTCCTTAATGACACTGAGAATATGCATTACAGGTATTAAATTATACTTGTTAAGGGTCCATTGTGTGCCATAGTGATGATACCAAAATAAAAACACCGCAGATTTGCATTTCATTATCAAAAACATGCCATGAAAGAACGTCAATTTTCAAGATCACAAACTGAACAACATACACGCAGTCTGTCATAGACACCACCTGTGAATCAAGAGGAAAGAATTCATGATCAAAAAAGAGCCACGTCGTTTATTCGAGGAAATACCGTAAAAAATTGAAAATCTCCATCTTTGATTTTGTACCAATGAACTTCACCCTTAACTTCACCCTAAACAAAATCAAGAGGAACGAAACCAAAAAAGAGCAGCGGCGTTTCTTCGAGGAAATCATGGAATGCTTTCTAAAAAAAACGGTATCCAAGGAAAGAGGTCATATATTAATTGGTGATTACCAGGAGATGATTTAATGTATGCATTTTAACAATCAATGGTTTGTTAMCTGGGAACACGACTGTGCAATAATTACAAGGAGGGGGGGGGATATCAAAGGTACAACAGAGCCCTTAAAGAGAACCTTAGAATCTTATAATTTTAAGGTCGCTATGAAACCATCATCAACCTTTAAGAACAACTTGATGAGACCGAAAGATCGAGTACCGACGTGTAAAGAGACAGGCATCGTATATGATATACCATGTAGTGATTGTAGTACACATTACATAGGTGAGACTGGCCGGGCTTTGGGAACGAGGAAGAAAGAACATGTGAGTAGTGTGCGCAATTTACGAACAGAAAACTCGGCATTGGCGGAACATGTATATGGACTTGATCACAACATCGCATTTGATGAAATAAAAATAGTCTGCAGAGAGAACCGTTGGGCCCACCGTAGATGGAAGGAGGCATGGTTGATTGAGAAAGACAAAAACAGCACCATCGCAAACAATTATTTGCTCATCTTTATTTTTTATGGTTATTGTTATTATTTCTATTCGTAGATTCTGATTTGTTATTTTTAATCTTTTCTCATGTAAATTAATCTGCTTATATATATATATATATATATTGTAATTTTATGCTATTCTGATCACCCTGATGGTGGACGATCGTCCGAAAGCTTGGGACTTTTAGTTTTTCGTAATAAAGTATTGTTGGTGATACATAGAGTTTTTCAATATGAAGCTACCCAACAACATAACTATCCTAAATTTCAATCTAGAATACTCCAATTTTGGGTTCTGGTTTGCTCTGTGTTAGCCTCAAAACCAAGTAACATATTCTTTTGTTTCATTGATAGCTCGAAAAAACGCATGGAATTTGTGAAGAAAGACAATAAACTTGATTTGAAATCTCACACTTTTACGCTCACAATAAGGAATATTTTGCGCACAAATGAGGCTAACACAGAGCATTGGAGAATTCGAAACTGGAGTATTCTTGTGCTGCTATGTAACCGTTAATACAAACTAGCGTTAAGGACTGATTCTATTAATCTGGTTTAATTCCTAATCGCAATAAATTCTATTAAGAGCTACAAGACTAGCTACAGATTGATTTAGTAC